CCTCACTCAGTTTGACTTGTTTGAACCATTCCAGTCAGCATACAGGGTGCATCACTCTACTGAGACAGCCCTGTTGCGCGTCGTAAACGACCTTCTGTCGTCTTGTGATGAGGGCCAGGTATCGATTTTGTCTTTACTCGATTTATCGACAGCTTTCGATACGCTCGACCACGGCATACTGCTCCAGCGTCTGCAACAAACGTTTGGTCTCACTGATACCGTCCTGTGTTGGTTCCGATCGTACCTGACTAATCGGGTCCAGTCAGTTATTTCAAACGGCTTAACCTCGAAGAAATCTAATATCGAATTCGGAGTACCCCAGGGCTCGGTCCTAGGCCCGGTGCTTTTCACGATGTACATTCAGCCCCTGGGTGCAGAGATCAGGCAGTTTGACATGTTGTATCCCATGTACGCGGACGATACACAACTTCATCAATCCGTGATCCCTTCTCAGTTCCCTCAGCGGCTCAGTATGACACAGAAGACAATGGAGTCGGTTAAGCACTGGATGGCCACAAACAAGCTCAAATTAAATGATGATAGGACTGAGCTGCTCCCCATCGCGACCGCTCAGAAGCAAAAATCTGCAAATAACATGACATCAATTACTCTCTAAGGTGTGCGTATTGAGTTAGCTCAAACAGTGCGGTACCTGGGTGTCTACCTAGATAGAAGACTAACTTTTGAAAGTCATATTAACATGCTATGCAAGGCGATTTTTCTGGAGCTGCGCAGGATTAGTCAAATCAGGCCCTTCCTAACAATTGATACAACAAAGAGGCTGATGTCTGCATTTGTGCTATCACGCATGGACTATTGCAATGCTCTCATGGTGGGTCTTCCAGCTACGCTCCTGGATAAAATTCAAATAGCACAGAATAATGCGGCTCGCATTGTTCTCCGCAAACGCAAGTTTGACCATGCAAAAACACTTCTGAGAGAGTTGCACTGGCTGCCGGTGCGTGCTCGCATAGAGTACAAAATCGCAACTTTGTGCTACCGCTGCTTACATGACCTGGCGCCGTCCTATCTGAAAGAGCTGCTGACGCCTTATGTACCATCTCGACACCACGTGTTTGCCTTGAGACTTACGGAAAGCGCACTTTCGCATTTGCTGGTCCAACAATTTGGAACGCCCTTCCTGTCGATCTCAGAAACAACCAGACACTGGAGTCCTTTAAAACCGATTTAAAGACACATCTATTTCGCAAACACCTTCTGGGATGATTGTCAACCTTATTTTCCAGTTAATGCATAATGGCTGTGTTGCTTATGGTTGAAATGGCTAGAAAGACTTTGCCATTGTATGCTTGTATTTAGTTTTTGTAGTGTTGCATTTGTTTTAAATGTGGTAAATTATAGATTTGTTTTTTGTTGACTTTGTACCGCGCTTCGAGCCTTTGGGGATGAAGCGTGTTTTTGAAATGAACTTTATTATTATTATTATTATTATAGTGACAATACAACAAGAAGCTTTTAAACACCTCCAAATAAACACAAAATGTGACTAAATATGATAGACCCTCAGCAAGCAGCGGTATATCAGAGTCACAAATGGTTTTAAATATCGTGGTCTTTACTCGCCTTCTTATTTATGATGAAGTTGAACCTAAAACCAAACGCCCCTCATCAAGTCGACATAGATCTAGTTGTCATTTATTCTCTTAGAGTTCACTGTTTCACTTGGGCAAAAACCCGCAACTTTTTTTGTGAGGGTTTGACAGGCACGGGTGTGGTATTTTCGGAGCACTATGTTCCTGTCCACTTTCATAATGTGGTATGAGTACAAGATGTACCACAACTGGTCTTTCATACAAACTACTAATTTGATTATGATTATATTCCCCCCCCCCCCTTTTTTTTCCAAGTGTTAAAAATAATTAATTCGGATATATTTTTTTAAAGTTACACTTTTGGCATTCCTTCTCTTTCTATTTTGTTTTTAAAGGGAATCTACTCTATTCTGTTAGATATGATGTTTCCGCATCAGTAANTTCTGCCGTACCCTGTTACTTTTCATTTATTTTGAATTGATCCCCCCCCCCCTTTTTTTTCCAAGTGTTAAAAATAATTAATTCGGATATATTTTTTTAAAGTTACACTTTTGGCATTCCTTCTCTTTCTATTTTGTTTTTAAAGGGAATCTACTCTATTCTGTTAGATATGATGTTTCCGCATCAGTAAGGAATTCTTATTTTGACGTCATTTAAAGTTTTGTGATTAATCAACACTAGTTTAAAAATAGCACATTTAAAGTCAGGCCCAACATTCACATTGTTATTAGTCACATTTTCCAAGTACAGAATATCTTATACATCAATACAAAATGGATGGTAAGGACTACAAAAGTATTAAAATGTTTTATTGAATAAAAATTTTATTTAATAACTCGTACTGAACAGTGACAGTGTAATGACTAACTAATCCTTTTTAATTAAAAAAATTAGTAAAAAAGCTTAGTTAAAGTTAAGCATTTAGAAATCCAATTAGGCCTACTCTTGGCTTGTTAACAGTTATTAGACCTATTTAAATTATTTTAATTTAGGTTATTCTTAAAAAATGAAGTGTCTATTGACACTATTCCTACCCGGAAAAGAGGGAGAGGTTGGGTTTATTTTAAAAATATTTAAATTATTATTGATGGGTTTGTAAGACAAAATTTGGTATCAAATGAAAGATAATTGAATGAAATATATTGTAAACTTACTCATTCAGTTTAACTAAAATAAACTACCATAAAAAATGACATCCGAATAGCCATTTTGTCTAATAAAGGGACCCAGGTCCGAATAGGACTAGATCAGCATTTCCCAAATGCTAGTTTAAAATTTACTTATTATATTAATTGTACTTTACTTAGTTGTGACAGGGAACTGGGCCATGAAAGCAAAACTATCCGGTTGTGAAAGAAATCTCTAAAAGCTAGCTAGGTCTTTATAATGATGTTTTAGAAGTAATTTAGTAATTAGCTTTGAATTTATAATAGCAAGGCAAATGTTTAGCTCTCTCTCACTGCTCACAACAGTTAAAGGGTGCTGTATCTTATCCTTAGAGATGTCCACCCAATCAGCACACAGGGAGATGGGTACAGCATGTAATTCTGTAACTGTTGTGAAACAACTATATAACTCTGTTGAGTAACACCTGCATATCAAGGACAGTTCTTTTTTCGTTAAATGTCCAGACATGTACAGAAGAAAGATAGTTAGGTTGGGCTTTTTACTGTAAAATGTCAATTCTGGGCGTTTGAGAACGTGGAAGCTTAAGGCCTGGCAAATAGGCAGATGGGTGAGGTAGAAATTTCTAAGAATAAAATTATCATCTTTTTTGCAAAATCAAGTGTGTAGTTAACAAAAGAAACAGTATCAAACTTCTCATAAATAAATTATTTAAAGGTTTCTGTTTGATTTCTTTACATTAAAAAAAAAAGCTTTTTTAATGGAAATTAACTTTATTGACGTAATCGAAATCGGTTTTATGATTGTTACCTATAGTCCAGAAGAAGCTTTACTTTAATTAAGTCTTATTACCAATGACTAGCACCACCAAAACCCCAGAGGAAAATGGCTCAAAGGTAGACCAAGGCTTAGATGGATGGATGATGTGGAAAAAGCAGCTGAGAATCCAAGCATGGAAAAGAAAAGCATTAGGTCAGAGTGGAAGGAAGTAGTGAGGCAGGCCAAAGCCCTACATGGGCTGTACCACCACAGGGATGGTGAAAATGAAGTATAAATATAACCTTAAAAAGTTTGGGAAATGCTGGCCTAGATAGTGTCATTGTCAATAGACAATATTGACCAATGGGATCTGACAGGTCGAACGCTACTCTATGATTAAGTTATCTGCACCAAAGTATTTTAATATTTATTAACAATTACTTTTTTATAATTCTTTTAAAAATATGGTATATTATTTTCAGATATGCTTTTTCAACTAAGGGTAAGTTTATTTTTAGCATTTAGGCCTTCTTCTTTGGAGCCATCTATAAATGACATGCTATTTTGGAAGATTTTGGGCTCTTGGGGCCCATCATCATATATTTGTGACACCTAAACACCCCCCCCCCCGCCCCCACGCGTCATGACATTTATGGATGACCCCCTTTTTGTGTTTATTTAGGCCTTCTTTTTTGGAGCCATCTATAAATGAAATGCTATTTTGGAAGATTTTTGGCTCTTGGGGCCCCTCCTCATATATTTGGTACACCTAAACACCCCCCCCCCCCGCCCCCACGCGTCATGACATTTATGGATGACCCCCTTTTTGTGTTTATGGCCAAGTTCTTCTAATGAAATATTTATATAAGAATAGTCAATTATGGTTTATATGAAATTAAATCCACAAATGACAATGTGGACAGCCTGAGAGTTTAAAATGGAGATACTTTAAATCAGATTTTTGTTCAGCTCATTTAGTCAATTAAAATAGATTCAAAACACATTAACACTTTGAAAAGTAAGGTGAAAAAAAATTCTGCTATGTATGAAGTGACTTTCTGTTTTTTCCCTGGTAAGGCAAGCAAGGTCATCAAGCAATAAAGCTTACATTTCTGCATAGTTAGGAAAATTGATCACAACTTTGTCAACATATATTCTGAGGGATTCAGTCTCTTTTGGTGGCTCACTGTATCACATAAATATACAATGAACATATATGTCATCCAACTGTGTCTGACATTTATTGGGAACAAAGCTCAAATTACAAACAAAAGCAAAGCAATTAAGCATTTGCCGTTTACTTTATTAGTTGAAATTATTGTTTTTAAAGAAATATTGTTTGGCACTAGAAAGCAAGATAACTTTGTGAGCAAAGATTATCAGGTATTGAAGAATTTTTTGGGACTTGCACTGCATCTTGAAATTGTGGATAAAAAATTGCACCTTCTTAATATGTTTATCAACTTTAGAAATATTCAAAATGGAAATTCATTTTCTGTCAAAATCTTAACATTAGACTTTCGACACATTCACTGAAAGGCATTTCATTTTCTTCATCTCTAGTTTACAGCTAAACAACTTGAGAGACAGTCAAAAAAGGCAGAAAAAGAACAAAAGATACAGCAAGCTAAAGTTAAAAAGGTTACCCAAAAAAGTTATTATTTACATAAGAGGATAACTGGTTTTTAAACTTTAATAATGCTATTTCATTTTTAAAATTAAGATTCCTTGCAATGGCATTTTAGCTTTGATTTAGTTTCTTAATAAATTCCAGTCGAGTTAAAAGCTTGTAGACTTAAACTTTGTGTTTTAATGGGCTTATGATATATTTTAATTCTTTTTTTTTCAGGCTTTACAACAAAAGAATGTTGAAGGGGCACAGATTTATGCTGAAAATGCTATACGTAAAAAAAATGAAGGTCTCAATTATTTAAGATTTGCAGCAAGAATAGATGCAGTGGCAGCAAAAGTACAGACAGGATTAGCCATGAAAAATGTGATTTTTATTAATTCTTAAGATTGTTTTTAATAACGCAGTGCGCATTTTAAATTATTTTTTTTAATCAATTTTATTATATTTATTTTTTTAAACTTAAATTTTCTACATTTATCTGTGTTACATTGTATTGTCAGATTTAACCCATTTCCATTAATTTTTTTAATTTGTTTTATTTAGTTGACAAAAGATTTATCAGGGGTTTGTAAAGCATTAGACCAAGCTATGGCATCTATGAATTTGGAAAAGGTAAGGATGTTTTGGAAACTTAAATATAGTTTGTTTCTATGAAAATCAAAGACTTCAATTTATTTTATTTATTTTGTTTAAATTTTTCTTTTTAATATTAGGATATTATACACATTTTAATTGTAAAATCATCAATGGTGTATGCGTCATGATGATTGGTCATGTCATTTTATTTGGTTTGCATAACTAGAATGATGATGTCTCAGTTAAGTTCAACCCTTTGCCCAAAATTTGTCATTGTTAGGTCGGTCAAGTGATGGAGAAATTTGAGAAGCAGTTTGAGGACTTGGATGTTAGAACTTCAGTGAGTATCTAATTGTTTTCATTGTCATAATAAAAATATTGTCTTGTGGAATTCATTTTGCCACATCCAAGTTTTCCTCTTTCTCTTTTTTTGTTTTTGTTGTAAAGGGATATTTTGTATGTTGGGCTCTTTTCTTTCAGTCACTGTTGTCATTATTAGAATAAAGTAGTGTAACATCTTTTGTAACAGTATGCATGACTGTATGGATGCTCCCTACTTTTGATACTGTTGTACTGTCTAAATCAGCAGTTCTTAACCTTTCTAATGCTGCGACCCTTTAATACAGTTCCTCATGTTGCAGCGACCCCCAGCCACAAAATTATTTTCGTTGATACTTTATAACTGTAGAGCATATGTGTTTTCAGATGGTGGTATGCGACCCCTGTGAAAGGTTCGTGTGACTCACAAAGGGGTCGTGACCCACAGGTTGAGAACCGCTGGTCTAAATCAATCATCAATGTCACCTTTACTGCTTTCTTAAATGAAATGCCAATTTCTGTTCTGTACAATTCATTTATATTACATTAATCACAGAAAATACTTGAAAAATGATATAATAGCTCCTCCAATATAGAATGAAAAAGGGACAAATATTTATGTTGCTATAATGATAATGAGATTTGTGGACAATAGATAAATGCAGCCTCCTTCACAGCAATTAAATACACCACTCTCTACCAAGCATGGTTGCTTGTACTTCTTTTTTTCATCATGGCTGACAAAATAGTCCATATTCATTAGATCATTCTATGTATTCCTACATTAACGTTATTTGTGGTGAGTTATAGTTCAGAGTAAATAAACATCTAAAAGATGTGATGTTACAAGTGTATTGAGTTTATTTGTGTACAATAACGCCTGTTAAACTTAATCACTTTACAACAGACATTAGAGAACTCAATGGGAGCAGCAACAACACTCTCAACACCTCAGGATCAAGTGGAGGCTTTGATACAGCAAGTGGCAGAAGAGAGTGGCTTGGAGGTGATGGATCAGTTGAAAGATTTGCATGCTCCGTCAACATCCATTCGATCTATGGCTTCTGGTGAATCAAGCAAAGAGGATGACCTTTCAAGGAGGTTAGTTACTGTTCTTTGAAGCCTTTCTATTTACCTGAAATTTGGGTGAATAACAATTTCATAAATAATATCATTTGTTTGGTTATTCATTATTTTTTAAAAATCGTCAGTTTCACACTTGTAGGTCATTCATTTTAATAATTTTATAACATACCTCAATTTAAATACTATTCTTACTAAGTTTTCTCTACAGGATTGGACTGACTTAATTCAAGTGCATAAAAAAATGTATCATGCAGATAGAAAAAAAAATTTATTTTCAATATCTTGAAAGTTCAAAAACCTTAATTTTGACACCAATGGATACAAAAATAACAGAACTGAATCCAAATATAAATCCTAGAACCCAATCATTTAGTTCACTGTCATGGCAAACGAGTCTGTTATCCCATTTCAGGCTTTCATTTGGTCACTTTCCTTCCTCGGTCTTTAACATATAGTGTTTTTTTTTTATTCAATAAAAATTGAGGATGGACCAAAATAAAGAATTAAATTGGGCAGAGTTGATACATCACTCTCTTTTAAAATGATATTGGCACATAGTAGGAAAATAGTTAATAACTTTAACTCATATTTTTAAAAAAATTATTAGTTATAAATGTATAAAGTTATGCATTTTAATTTTCTTTAAATCCCATAGTCTTGTCAAAAAATTAAATAGAAATGATGAATAAATTTTCATAAAATATCCTTTTAATTTATTGCTATATTTTCCTTCTCAGACTTCAAGCTTTACGAAATTGAAACTGAGCATCTGATAAAAACACTCCATTCAAATATCTCCATTGAAAGACAGTACCCTAAGGGATGGTCCTCTTATTTTAAAGTCAGAAACACAAAGCAGGTATCAGTTTCCTAAAGTTGCAAAGAGGAACTTGATGACAGGTCGAAAATCTGCTGAGTATCTTATTTATTAAAGTGTAGGTATTTAAAAAATCATCTTAAGATGTAATTTTATATTTATTTTGATAAAATTGTGAGCTGATTACAATATCATTCTTAATATGATTTTTATAAAATTGAATCATCAGAATTAAATACAAATGTGATTGTGTATTCTGTGCATTTAATCAGGACAATTTTGATTCTAGGATTTATTTAAACAATCTGATTTAATTCTGATATAATATATTTAATTTCTCCTACCCATTAGTGCTTATGTGTAATATATTGTTAATAAAGTATTTTGTTTTGGATGAGTGCTGATGCCATGCAATAATTATGTATCTCTTGGATTTAACACTACAGAAACATGGGATCAGGAAAACATTTGTGGGAAGGTATCTTGCCATATTTTCAAAATGTTAAATCAGGGACATTCCACAATGAATTGATCAAACAGGAAATAATGTATGTGTGGTACAAGCTGGGAGATGGTTAACTTTGTAGTTGCCATGATGATATAATTGTAGCTTAAACTGAGTTGTTTTTTGTTTTGTTTTTTTTATTTAAAAGAAGGATATTCCTTTAATTATGAGGAAGGTATTTATAAAATTTATGAATAATTTATTAATGATTTATATATATATACATAATTCCTTCCTTTGTTTAGTCTTGATCAGATCTTTTAGTTTTTTTTTAAAAGGGCTTTTTCCCAATCCTGATGCTGACACCCTAATTATAAATAAATGCTTAATCAAACTCAAAACTCTCCTCTGCTGTCCAGAACTAAATTGGATGAAGGAATATGTGATCATATGCCACTGTGTTTTCTTAACAATTTTCTTTTACTAGAATATCTTTATATGCATAAATGTGAATAGTGATACAAAATGTTACCAGAGTCCTTCGTTAATTGTAATTTTCCATTTCAATGATTAAAATTGGATGCCATAATAAATCTTCATTGCTGCCTCTACTGTACTTCTCGCAGAGTCAGTGAATAGAAACATCATTAGTGAATGTGTGTGGGGGATGTCTCAATGGAATGGTACTAGTAATTAAGGATACCATTACATCTTAATAATATCTTACCCTCTAAGATCAGTTTAATTAATGCCATTTATTAAACTTTATTTAATGAGGAACACATAGCAGACTTAATCATCAACTTTTTTTTTTTTTTTTAAATTTCTGTTTATAAAATTCCAAGTTGTTGGGAATGTTAAGCATATACATTTTTGTTTCACTTTCCAATTTACAGTGGGGGGATAAAAATGAATTTGAAAATGCCTGTTTGTTTTTATATTGTTTAATTGCTTGTTTACTTGCTTTTAATTTGTGTCGACAAAAGAGGGGGGGGGGAGAGAGGGGGTGTTGTGTGTTTACTAATTTCAATGGGACTTAATTACATCTTTATTTTTTTTAAATTAATTTTATTAAATCTTAGTATCTTTTGGTATTTGTTATCACCATTTGCTGCTGATAGGAAACATGGCATCAAAAGGGATAAGGACACCCTGGTGTCAACGGTTTCTTATTTTTTCCAACTGTTTCACTTCTCCATGAAACACATATCCTGATATTCACATAATTTTTACAAATTATATTTTTTAACTTGATTGCATGGCTCTACTCTGTTACTCTAATTTTTGTTGATCTGTAATGTTATTGAAAATAGATAGCATCAACTGAAAGCTTAGTGGGTTGAACAAAATGTATATTACTAAAAATGCTTTAGGGGCCTAGCTGAGTGTAAAAAAAAAAAATCCAGTCGTTCATCTTATACATCCATCAAACTCTCTCTGACAGTTTCAAAGGTTGTGCTAGGCTCTGCTTAGTTTTTATTTGTTATTTAGCCATTGCGTTCTACATCAGAAGTGTATTTATCAAATGCCATTTATTATATATATATCATCTATTTTAAAGAAAATATCTAGAATTAGAAATTGCATTTTTTAAAGAAGCATGTCATTGAAGATTTTTTTTTTTTAAGTGTTGTTTTGTTTATAGTTCAGTGAATTTATTTTGTATTAGATGTATTATCATGACAATTAGAACAGACCAGACTTTATAGTTTGAAGCAGGATTCATTGTGTTGAGACATTCAGTTTCAGTCGTTGTAAGTGAAGCGATATGAATGTCCAGTTTTGTAGTTAAATTTTGTTTGTTTGGTTTTTTTTTAGCTATATTGAGAAATTTAAATAAAACCAAAAAAATAGTTGTTAAATTTTACTAGCGCAATACCAGTTACTCCATCTTTTTGTAAGCTTTAATTGTTGCAATTTTGTATTAGTTGTCGGCACTCTTTCATACAAACCTAAAGATTCCGATCCATTCAGCACTCATACATAGAAACATAAAGATTCACATCCATTCAGCACTCTTTTAGACACAACTTAAGATTTACATCCATTCAGCCCTCTTACATACAACCCTAAAGATTCACATCCATTCAGCCCTCTTACATACAACCCTAAAGATTCACATCCATTCAACCCTCTTACATACAACCCTAAAGATTCACATCCATTCAACCCTCTTGCATACACACCTAAAGATTCACATCCATTCAGCCCTCTTACATAGAAACCTAAAGATTCACATCCATTCAGCCCTCTTTACATGCACACCTGGATATTTAAATCCATTCAGCCCTCCTCAATATGAACTTAAAGATTCACATCCATTCAGTGTGAGATTAATCAGGTGTATTTTTCCCCTTGCCTCACAAGTACATGTGCATGATTAAGTCTATCAACTGTTTTAATGGCTAGACAGTTATAAATGTACCATATTGTGACGCTTAACAAATTAAATCCCCAAAAAATGTATGCAATTAAGAAAAAAATGATGTTCTGTGTCTTATCACTAAATATAAAATATTTCACTATATGAAATATTAATTTTGAACATTGCCTAATAAACTGTTGATGATAATCTGATCAGATTAGTTTGGTTATAATTTTTTTTTTATAAAAAAAAATGTTAAAATTTTGTTTAATGCAATTTTGGGGGGAAACGGGGAAAATTATTTACTAAGACTTTAAAAATGTGTATATAATTAGCTTTATTGGATGAAAACATTTACAGTCCAAGATCGATTCACAAATGAAAGAAAATATTCCCTGCTATAGCAATATAAGTCTTAATTTTCCAATTTCTTAAGTGGTTGGAGTCAGGGGGATCTATTCTTGCCTTAAGTATCTCAGAAACAAGATCTTTAGTTTTACTGGTTTCCATAAATCAAATAATAATTAAAAATATGTGTTTGGAAAATATTTATTTGCAAAAGGAAATTCGAAAATGCTATTTGGTACATTTCTACAGCTTTGTCTGATAAAATGAATTGATTTAATTAATTTTAAATTTATAGCATCCTATTTTTATTAAAAAGAAACTATATATTTATAGAACTCTGTCTTTTAGGAGAAAATTGATGAGGAACAATGGTGATTTGCCCATTCTATGAATTTCTACTTAAAATTAGAAACCGTTTATGTTATGTTTAAAGACTCTTTCGCAAAAATTAAAATCAATTGAAAATCTAGACATTTTAAGTATCTACATGATAATATGTCCACAATGCAATCATTATAGTTCAAAAATCTAATAAGTAAAATGATGAGGGGCACATGTTTCAGAATCCTTCCATAAACCATTTGTAGACACTGCTTAATTCCTAAATTTTGAAAGAAAAAGAATAACTAGATTTCACAATCTTCACTTAGCAGAACCTTAGAGGATTTTTTACCAATAATTAGTTCATTATGTTTTACAGTTGAACATAAAATACATTGGATGTTCTACCACATATTTGTCATTCAGGGTTGTTAAGAAAGTTTATTTTTATGAAATACAAATCAGCGGAAATCATAATTAGCACATAATATGATGTACACATGTTTGAAAGCACACAAAAAACACAAAATGCTATTTAGTAGGCAATGTGTGCCTCTTCTAGGTTTTGAAAGCCTGTTGGAGCTGGTGCACCACTATGATTGCCAAGTGGTGGGGCACCGCCAGGATAGTCGCTAGTGGCTGTTACACGTGCGGGAAACCCAGAAGTGCCTGGGTATCCTCTGGTATCAGCATAGGCAATGTCAGGAGGATATGCATAAGATGGATGGCCAGTGTACAGGGATGGAACCAACCCCGGATCTGCTGTGGGAAGTAACTTGATCTTTCCATGACCCTGTGAGATAAAGTAACATCTGTCTTATCAGCAATATACAGGAGAAAAATAATTTATCAAATAATGCCATGTAATTTTCTATGTCAGTAACAGTATATTATTTTTATCAGAATTCCTTACATCATAATAATGAAAAAATGGGAACCATTGAATCGTGACAGTTAAAGTCTTTAAGAAGTAGAAACATCCAATGTTAAGTTGTGGATAATGTTACTTTGTAAACAATGTTTTGTTTATTTTTTTTATTAAACTTAAAAAACGCATTTCCTTGCTTGGGTCTTGGCTTTGAATCACTATGACCACACACACAAAATTAAATATGTACTCTTAGAGAATGCTCAAGGTGATATTTCATTTTTTTTGTGAACAAGAAACTTTTTAAATGTGGGTACAGTGAAACCATTTTTTTTCTCTTTTAATTTCCTTTCATTCTTTAGAAGTAAAAAATGCAGTACCGGTGCGCTCTCTGCCTGTTTAGCAATGTCACCATACAAGTTGAAAAGCAAAGGTCTTGACTGAGTGTAAAGTGTACCAAATGGTGCATAGCCTTGGTGACCGCCTGCTGCTACCTGATCTGCAACATCTGACCTAACCTTAAGATGGAATGAATTACGATAATGCTCACTGGCAGATTAAATCTTGAAGAAAAAAACAGAATCTCTGACGAATTAGCAGTTTTTAGTTCATGAATATGCTAGTCACTAATTATAACTATAAAATTCAATAATAACAATATTTATAATCAATTTCTCATTCATTAAAAAAAAAAAAAAGAACTCGCTAAAGGTCATGGAAATTTAATAAGACTCAAAATGTGTTGCACTTTCTTCTGTAAATCATTTATTTCAGCAATTACTTCTGGAATAATTGTTTTTATCTATTTCTTAAGTAAAATAAAATAATATCATCTCTCAGCCCTATTACCAAAAATGAATTTTATGGTCTGCATAACAGACATTTATAATCTAACATCATCAGTACAAAGTACAATAATAACATTTTTTAAATTTTAACTAACCGTTTGTTGTATTGCTCTGGCCCTACATTTGTCATTCTCATAAATCATGCTACTCAGAGAATATTCCTCACCAAGAGTGCTTTGGCTGTCCATTAGAACACTGTCAAAAATAATTTTTTAATGTTATTTTCATTTTATGTAGCATGTACTCAAAAAATACAGGCATTAAATAAAGACAGCAAGTGCATTCTGATTAACCATACATAATAAATTCATATTAAGTAGCAAATGAGCTGCAGTGTATATTCTAAAATACTATGGATTAATATATAGGCCAAATCTATATAGAATCATCCTGTACACTTCCTTTGTATTTATTTATTTTTTTAAAAAGTTCTTTTTCTATTCTAAAAATTGAATTTTTATTCATTAAAAGCTAGAATTATTAAAAATCCATGGAGCAGAATAGGGCCTACCGTTTTATACAATCAAGAGCAATCAGTCTATCATTGTGAATGCTTACAGCTTCTACAATTTTACGAGCTTCTCTACAAGTCATTCGACACAATCGCTGAAATATATAAAAAATATGATGCAATGCTAAGATGTCCCCATCATTAAGTTTCATAAGAAAAACATACTCATTTATCTGTAAACTAATTATAAATTATGTTACTTACATCCCTTAACAAATTTTTAGGATACCAAATTTAAAATGTAATAAAATGTAATGGAGTCAGTTATGTAAAACATAACTTATACAAGATAGTGCTTCAACTTTAAAAATCATGCTTTTTATAGCATATTTAAAACATAACTGTCTTATAAAATGTATAATACTTACAGATTCAAGCATCCTCAGAGCTGCAACTTTGTCAGCTGGTCTTGGCAATTCATAAAGGATTCTTCCTGCCTGTTAAGAGGTGGTAAAAAAACTACAATACCAACTTCGTCAAATTTATAATTCAATTCAAATGTATACGATATTTAAAAATTGTTAACTTCCATTCTATTTATAATGATTATCAACTAATGCATTGTTTCGGTAATTGTTAATTTTGACAAATTTTAGTGTTGCGATTTGGCACGGAGGCTAAAATTATTTCCACAAAATAAACGATTTATGAAACAACAGAAAGAAAATCTTGTACCTGTCAAGTTATGATTAACCTTGACATAAAAATTCTTGTTTGCATCAACAAGATATTTACAAAATTTAAACAAGTGGATTTTCCTTATTCAAAACATTTTATTTTTATTATTATAGTATTGAGACCTAAATTCCATATTAATTTATCTGCCAGTCTGTTGTCACGGTCACAACTATAACTTACCTGTTCGGCATTGAAATATCCCCTAGATGTGTACAAGATATTCAGCTTCCTTTCGTGAGAATCTGTCTCCTGAAATATTAATATGCCTTTTCAATTAGCCTATAGTGGCTATAATCTATAGTCTACAATTTGGCCAGAATATAATATAATCATCATTATCAATAACCACCTGAGCAATGCAGAGTTGATGCAATTTACCTTTTAATAACTTCTCCTTTTAGAGATAATTTTTTAACACTTTTTGAGTTCGTGACATTCAATGACAATGACTCATTGACATTGCTGCTTAGGGGCCAGCCATAAATGATGTCACGCATCTATGGAGGGTCTAATTTTTGTGATGAAGGGGAGAGGGCCTTAATCAATAATTTTATTTTTAAACTCTGATCCCTGAGGGAATCAGTTCAGGTATGTGAGGTCCAAGAAATGGCATATAATCAAGTTAAAGACCAACATGAAGGAGGAGAAAATGGGTGTAGCGATATTAAGAGTCGTGAGAATTTATGTCAAAATGTGGAGACGGGGCTCATAGAATTAGGACTCCCACATGAAGTGGGATTGAAAATGGGGGGGGGGGGGGGGGTGGTGATCTTGGTAAATGCTTTAGGGCAGGGATTTCTAACCTTTTTGCAGCACTGCAGGCCCACTCTGTTTTAAACAACCCCCCAAACCGTATAAATTATATTTTAATAAAATTTAAAATATGAAAATGATTAAATGATTTAGTTATCATTGTTTTATTTCTTTAAGTAACTTTTTATAAACAAGGAAAAAAATTACCAAAATACATGTAATGCGCAAACAAAATTCACCAGAAAAAACATTTACTGTGCTAATCAAAATGCATAAAAACTGATTTTTTTTTGTTTAAAATAGCAACAACTAGCTAACTATGGCAGCAAATACAATTTTTTGGTGTTCCGCATCTCAGGGCTGGAGAGGTACTTTTAGCTCTGGTTAAGAACCTTATAGTGAAATGTTTCTGACAAAGGTGCATAAATTTGATATTGATATACAAAACATGGGAGGTGAATTTCTAAAACTAAAGGGCTAAAACTAAAGGGTTTGTAAAGGACAGAAGTGGACACAGGGAATTTTTAGAAAAAAAAGGGGGGGGGGTGCAGAGATTTTTGACGTTATATTTGAGGGGGAGGTGTGGGTGTCAAAAATCGGAAAAATTTGCGTGACGTCATGTAAATGTATTTATAACATGATGGCCCCTTCCAAATACTTATTATTATCAGTTATCAGTACAGTAATTTTAACAAAATTACATAAAATTACAGATTTATTTTCTAATCGAAAAAAACTCAATATACGTTACGAATCATTTTTAATTTACCTGTCGAATTTTAGTGATAAGCCTATCAAAGCTTGATGGGTCCATTGATTCTTTTGCCATCTTTACTGAAGATATTGATGGCAAAGAACAGCGTCCCTGACAACAAGCTTCACACCGGATACATTAAAAAGAAAACGGGATTCAAGGTCCAAACAGTTAAAAACAAAATTTTATATTACGCGAAACAATCTTTTGAGGTATCTTTATTTTAAAGAAATACCAATAGCAACAATAAATTATAGTTAATAATAATGTAGCTTGTCTTGAACCCCGGTTAGGCCTTAAATTTTAATAAGAGATTAGAAATTTTGCCAAAATATATCAAACGTATCTATACTTGTCACTTAATTTTTTCCCAGTTTTCCTGAATAATTTAATTTAATGGACGGATATGGTTCAAAAGAGAAAAAAGACCTTTTGCATGTACACTAATAATTAATAAGAAAGCAATACTTTTAAAATAAATATCTATATATCTATATACATATCTATCTATCTATCTAACTATACAATATCGAAGTGGCTATAGGTACCCGGGCAGTGGCGTAGCGAGGGTGTTTGGCGCCCGGGGACAAGATTCGCGCCCGGGGACAAGATCCATTTTAAAGCGCCCCCTTTTTTTTTTTCAACTCTCAAACCCATTATTTTCATCAATAAAATAATATCAAAGCACATTTTGGCGCCCCTAACTAGCTGGCGCCCGGGGACATCTGTCCCCCCTGCCCCCACCACGCTACACCTCTGTACCCGGGTACCTATAGCGCAAATAGCTAATCGGATCTGGCTGGTCACGTGAGGGCTTTACATAGTCGGTTGGTCACGTGACGGTTATGACGGATACTTCCTGTTGGTTTGCCATCTTAGAGCCATTATTATCAATGGAGAAATGTGCCATATTTTGAAGACTTTATGTAGCATTAAAGAAACACAAAGAACAATGTGACGTACAGCTAAAAGCAAGTAAGAATACGCTTATGTTTATAATTTTATTGTATTTTTAATTTCTATTTTAAATATAGTTCTATAATCATTAACATGACATCAATCAAGATTCAAATTCAAGAACAAAGTTGATTTTTTTTTTTTTTAGGCGGCGGTAAATCGGCTACTGTCTTATCTGTAATTGTAATGAAAAGTTTGGCTGCGGCTATTCGAACCCGGTATCAGAAGTGGATACTTCAATTTTAATTCACCGCAAAAATTATTATTATTCACACTTCCCATAAAACAAATGTTCTTTTGAATAAAAAACAATTCGGAGAGATCAGCCCGCGGCCGCCATCTTGGTTATCGTGACCCACGAACTTATGTCCTAAATGTAGGCACTTGAATACAAAATTTAAAAAAAATTGAAATAATTTTTTTAATAACACAGTTAGTTAGAGCAAATTTCAAATTAAAAAAATGAAATCAGAATCAGCTTTTTAGCTTAAGTTAGGTAGTTCGGTAAGATCCGGGAAGTGCCAAAAACCGGGTATCGTGATTTCGTTGTCAAAATGGCGACCTCCACTTTTTAATTTACCGAGAGTCACGTTGTTTACGACTTTTTAACTATATATAGCCCAGCATGTTAATTCTATTTCCGCCCACAACTTAGAGTAGACATGTTGTGTTATGATTAGACACTTGAGTCCCCCAAAAATTTTGGGGCTTCACTTTGAAAATTGAAGGTAAAATAATGCAATTTTTACTCATTCATATTTTTTTGTGGAAATGAACTTTTCTTTGAATAGATACTTCGATGAAACAAGGAAGACTACTACTTTTTGTGTATCGGAAATGGGCGTCGGCGCCGAAAAATCAGAATTTTTAAATTTTCCGATGTGTGTGTCTATTTATTATTAAATTAGTTCTTTCGACATATATTTGAGTTCCGTTTCCGGCCTTATAATTTGGAAGGCATCTGGGCCTACATTTCTAGCCAGCTATTTTGCTTTTTTCAATCGACCTTTATTTTGAAAATCTTTGGTATATATAAGGCATCTTCGCATTAAAATTTTTGTGTGAAATAATAAGATAAGGTCCTTTTTGATTAAATCTGTAAGAGCATTAGATATTGATCTATATCTGTGCCAAGTTTCATTGTTGTAGGTCGTGTCTCACGTTTGTTACGCTTGTAACAGTGACCCCTATCACCATAAGGTGGCTCAGCCTAATTTCGACATGGCGTGGACCACGCCCCCTTGTTAATGGCGGAGGTTGCCGATACTTAGGAAATATTTAATTATTACCACTATATACATCAAAATATTTTATATTTTGTGTTTCAGAATGCATTTTGAAGACATTTAAACTGGAATGTTTTAATTTGAGCTTTAAAAACCCTGTGCCTGTAGAGTCCATATTATAAATGATCAGAATTTTCCCTGTGCAACACGTTGTCATTGGCAACCATTCACAGCCACTGCCACTTGCATAACGGCTATATCGTAGTACTATCACAGAGTTTCATTCATAAGAGTTTGCCATGTGCAAAATCTATTAAACCATTGGTCAGGGAAAGCTTTAATTAATTATTCATGTGCCAAAGTTGCAAGTTTAAAATAAGTCGACCCTAAACAGTATTTTAGTGATAAGGGAATGCGTTGCCTTATATAAACTATATAGTATAGTCATAGCGCATGATGCGATCAGCGGAATGAGGTCACAGAATGTGGAGATGCAGTCCATGTTAAAAAAGGACAAACCAAGTCGTACTTTAAAAATTCATAACTTTAAAACTACAACATCTAAAAATATGATTTTGGTGTTATAATCACTATTCCAAAAGAGAATTATTATATAATCAACAGTATTCTCAAAGGAAAAAAAAACACTTTCTGCCACAATAATCCAAGAATTACATGAGATATTACTAAAATTTAATAATAAAACATTGTAATTACCTCAAGCAAATAACTAGAACTTAATTAAAATTCTATCAACAGCCAAAGTTGATTCTAACAATAAATGTTGATCTGTGAAACAACTTTACTAACTTAAAAAAAGGACTTACTATTTTTGTATTGGAATGGTTAGTTTCACTGATTAGGTTAGGGTAAAGTCTTGCACATTCCTAATTTAGTTAAAATCAGATAAAAATCCCTAAAAAATCTAAATTTCCTTCTGACATATGGAGTGCATTTTTGCTGTAAATGAAATAATTAAAAAATGCAAAAGAGCTATTTAGATGGATTGCTTCTTATATTTAGATTCATCTGTTGCTATAGCATACATTTTTTTGGTTAAAATCATAGTAGTAATAATCAAGAGTTACATCTTGCAGGTTAGAATTATATTACCATTGATCTGTGACAAAAAATCTTATTTAAATTTTTAAAGACATCTGTTGCTATAGCATACATTTTTTTGGTTAAAATCATAGTAGTAATAATCAAGAGTTACATCTTGCAGGTTAGAATTATATTACCATTGATCTGTGACAAAAAATCTTATTTAAATTTTTAAAGCTTCACTACTACTGTAATGCAGTTGTAGTTAAAATCTTGCACTGAGCTTGACGTGACCATTTTGAAGGTTTTCTTTTGTTCATTTAACACCACCTCCCTAATTCCAATAGTGGTTGGACTTTAACTATTTAATAGATTAAATAAACAAAGCTATTCAACTTTCCCTTAGAGAACCAGGAATTTTTTGTCAAAACAAACATGTAAACATTGCTGGTGTAAAAGCAATGGTTACACCATGTGTGTGATTAATTTTTTGGGTACTTTTTATGATGGTAACTCAGGTTAAAAGTGTTCATAGGATATTGTCTTCATATTAATGCAAGCTTGCGCTCTAATATAATAAAGTTTCTGTCTTCTACTAATTAATGTATTATTTTACTTCCAGGTTAAAGTCGTTGTTTTCACAGAGATCACTTGAAGACCCCCATCACTGCCAGAAGTCACACCTGCTCTTATGATGAATGTGGAGGAGGAATCATGACATGCCAGGACAATGACTGGTCAACATTTTACTTCAGGTAAATCCAGTCCTTTTTATTCTATTTATTTTTCATTACCCATGCCACTAATTTTTAAAAAAAAATTTTTGTTTTATTTTTTTACATTTTATCACACTGGGTAATAATCTTGAGGTAACTTGCCATTATTGGGATCTTGGAAATTTATTCCCAATGGATCATAAGCCGACCACAATCTTAGTTTTGGCCAGGAAAAACCCTGAAAAGTGTGTAATCTGCTCATTAGTGTACACTCTCAGTTTTGGCTGGGAAATTATTTTAAAGGTTTTCATCGAAACCTTAAAAATAATTGCTTATTAAAAAGACTTAAAACTATTAAACATTCAGTATTATCTATAACAGCGACTCGCTTCACTTTTCTACATATATATATACCGTAACCACACTGAACAGAATCAGTCATATGCTCACACAGACACAATCTTATTGTTTTCTATAATAGAATCGATGTACCTGGTGAAAACCTCCTGTGACCGACTCAAAAGCCCACTTATACTATTGAAATATTTTTTGTGTAAATAGGCCTTTGAATAGGGATCTACAGTACATGCTGAATTTTGATTTATAGCCATGTCTAGACTTAATTATGTGTTGATCATTCTTAAACATCATCCAAAAATTCAAATTAAATAATTATAATAATAAGTATGCCGCTAAATGGGAGAAATAGAGATATATAAACAGATCAATTTGTTAACGCTGATCATTAGTAGGGCCCTGGCATGTTTCACCACATCCTTCCATTCAGACATCATCATCATAGGTGCTACAGCCCATCATAGGGGCCTGTTCTGCTCGTCTGCTCTACAACATCCTCCCTTTTAAGCTGATCCATGACTTTACACCTTCCAGGTGATTTTAGTCCTTTACAACTCAATCCATATCAGTCTTGGTCGACGGATGAGCCGTTAACCCCCCCTAGGCTTCGGTCTGTAGATCACTTTTGCTGCTCTACAATCTAATATCCTCTCAAGTTTTCTTGCCCAAAGCAGCCTGCACCTTTAAATTGCAGCAACCACGAATGGTTCCGGTACTGAAAATGTTATTAGGAAATTGCATCAGCAGGCTGTCGAGCTATTACATTAGCTCTTTATGCCCTCCCCAAAGCACACACACCCTCACTCCCCAAGCCTGAGTTATCGGGCTGGGAAGCGGAACATTGGAGATTTCCATTAGCCAGGACAGCCCCAGCCTACACTCACTCCGTCGAGTACCAGTGGAGGTCACCCCAGCACAAGGACATCCGGTAGGCCTGTGACGCTTCTCTCACAGCATCAGGAGTCGGGATGGTGTATTTACATCCTAAAATCTTACCCTGCCCATCCCTGGGAACGCCAGACGCCGTTGGATACAGATTTCTACAGTGGGTTTCTACCTT